CTAGCCGGGGAAAATCTGCATAGCATAACCAGCTAGTTTCGTTTAGATGTGGGGTACCTGCGAAATTGTTAACATCCATTTGTCACTTATCATGTGTGATATGAGAGCATTAAAAAAATAATTTGCAAAATGCATCAATAGTAACTGTGTTTACCCTTTCAAAATAGAGCTTACCTATTAGCTTTTACACATACTCGCAATTACTGTAGAAATTATCTTAAAATGCCATGATACGATAAAAAATTTTAATGCATCTTATCAAAAATGTACCCCCCCCTTCTGTCAGTCTGTCTTGCTGTGGTGAGATGTGTGTCGCTGTGACTGCCACCAGTATTTCAAATACCAGCAGGGTCACCCACGGTGGGCAGGTTTCCGCAGAGCTTTCTAAGACAGGCTAGGAAGAAAGGCCTGGCAATCTACCCAATGAAGACTCTATGGATCACAACAGAACATTGTCTGATACAGTTCTGGAAGGTGAGACCCCTGGGTTAGAAGGCACTCAACATCTATAGTGGCTGCAACAATGGACTCAGGCACACCGACCGCTGTGGAGATGGCAGAGGTCTGGGCGACATTTTGTTCTGCTGCGCATGGGGTCACCATGAGTCGGAGCCAACTCAACGGCAACTAACAAACCCATTGCCGTCGAGTCGATTCCAACTCCTAGCAACCCTACAGGACAGAGTAGAACTGCCCTATGGGGTTTCCAAGGAACTGGGGGATTTGAACTGCCTACTTTTTGGTTAGCAGCTGAGCTCTTAACCACTGCACCACCAGGGCCCCGGCAACTAACAGCAACACAAGCAGAGATCAGATGAGTATGCTGTTGCGTCCTGGGTTCCAGGGAGCTCTGGGGCGCACGGCAGGACCAGGCTCCCGAGAGGGACTTGCAAGAGAGAAGAGAAACCATAAGCAGGGTCACACTGACGCTTGAGAACTCTGTGCCAGTGGCTGATTGTAGCAGAAAGATAAATTGAACCTAACTCAGCTAGTGGATCTTTAATTAGGGGGAGGTAAATGTGCAGGTCTGGGTGTAAACGACAATCAGTTTATGTCAGAACCGCGTCGGGAAGTGACAGAATTGCTAAAACATGGAGGAGCTCTGCCTTGCCGGAGAAGGGGAAGGCAGGCCTCTCCAGCCCAGCCAAACGGCAACAGTAAGGACCCCGGGCAAGGTAGACTACTTGGGGGGCACGTGACCGGCTGTGGAACTAGTCTAGGAAGGGAAAGTGGGGGGACTTGGATATGCTGCTGTTAGTGGTGGTGCTGTCAAGGCGATTCCGACTCACGGGGACCCCATGTGACAGAGTAGAACTGCCCCATAGGGTTTCCTAGGCTGTAGTCTTTATCAGAACAGATCACCAGGTCTTTCTCCCAGGGAGCCGCTGGGTGGATTCCAGCAGCCAGCTTTTCTGTTTAGAAGCTGAGTGCTTAACGACTGTGCCACCAGGGCTCCTTGTTTGAAGATACCAAAAACCCAGACCCATTGTCGTCTAGTCGATTCTGACTCATAGCAACCCGACAGGACAGAGTAGAACTGCCCCATAGGGTTTCCAAGGAGCAGCTGGTGGATTCGAACAGCCGATCTTTTGGTTAGCAGCTGCCCTCGTAAGGACTGAGCCAGCAGGGCTCCTGTTTGAATCCAGAGGCACATTGTCATGCATGTCATGTTGTAGATGAAGTGGGTCAGGGCTTCAGGCAGCTAGGTGACTGGTCGAAGCCGAGCGGAACCAGAACCAAAATTATTTTAAACCATTTCTCTATCAAGTATTTTTGTCCCACTTATTTTTTTGTTAATTGAACTTAGATTTTTTGGAAGCCTACTATGCGCTAGCTACCCGCCCCCCCCGCCAAGAATGGGAATAGCATTGAAAAGAACTGCCTCCTCTGAGCCTTCTAACTCGGAGAGACCGACACAGAACAGATACTGAAACGGCTGAGTCAGACGGGGAAACCAAGGCAGAGAGGGGGTGGGACGGTCCAGGTGAGTAGGAAATTCCAGAGGAAAAGTGGACGCCTGAAGGAGAGCTGGAGGGGAAGGCATGGGCCCTGTGGGTATCTGAGGAAGGAACGTTGTAGACAGAGGAAGCCCCGAGCGTCCAGGCTCTAGGTCAGGCAGCCGCACTTGTTTGAGGAGCGTGGAGTGAGCTTGCCTGGGGGCAAAGGGGCAGGTGAGAGCTGTGGACAGGCGGGAACAGAGGGCGAGAGAGCCTGGGTCACAAGGGGAGTTGTGGGCTGGATTGTGCCCCCTAAAAAGACATGTCCACGTCCTCACCCCTAAAAAGAGATCCCAAAGATACAGAGGCCGTGGCGTCACTAGGGTTGGTGTCCCCTGGTGCAGTAACTCATGGTGTCACCCCCCCGTCGACCTTCTCCCGTATTAGATCCTACAGAATTCTTCATAATGTTCTTTGTACTAATGTTACTCAGAAACTGTAATTCCCGTACATCACTCCTTCTTTTCCTTTAATTACTACTTCATTCTCAAAAAAGTTATTGATCTAGGTTCACAAATACTAATTACCACAATATTGTAGCTAAAACACCAGAAAATCTGACAAAATCAGCCACAATAAAAACAGCAGCAGCAACAAAAACAACAGCGTGTGTAGTGCACGCAGGGGAAACCACGTGATTCGAAGCGTCCTTGTAATCGGGTGATAATGACAGCTCTGACCAGAGCACGTGAGAAGGTTCAAACAGTAAATCAGCATAGAGTTTTAGCCTTGTGGATATATTGATACATGTAAGCTGGGCTTAAGAAAAATGTGTTTGTTGTTATAGCTAACTACTGGGATATTTTTATAAAAAATAATAAATAGAAACACTGCAGAAAAATTTTATAGACTTTCTGGCGTCACGCCCTCTGACAGTGTCATCCAGTGTGGTCCGCATCCCCCTGCCCCCCTAGTGACCCTCCTGCCCAAAGGAAGGATAGTCATGATGGAGGCAGGGAGCGGAGGGATGCTGCCGCAAGCCAAGGAGAGCCGAGAACTTGGCAACAGCGGGAGCTGAGAGAGAGGCTTGGCACAGGTTTCCCCCAGAGCCTTCAGAGAGAGCTCGGCCCTGCTGCCCGGCCTGCCCTGTTGTGCGGTCCCATTTGGGGAGGATCCTTCCTCGTGTTGTAGGTTTATACCTCCCACCTCTGCCTCCCTCGCACGTAGCTCCGCCTCTGTGTCCAAATTCCCCTCATCTTACGAGGACACCAGCCATTGAACTAGGCCCAGCCTACTCCACTATGACGTCATGACAACTAACAATGTCTCTGAAAACCCTATTTCCAAACAAGATCACATTCACAGGTACTTGGGCTTACGACGTCAACATTTTTGGGGGGGACATGATTCAACCACAGCAGTTACCTAGCATCTTCCAAAGGGTAAGCAATCTTTCTTTTAATAAACTCATGAGTTTCTGTATACTTCATGTGTTTTTATCCATTGCAAGAATTTCTTATTGATGTCCACATCGCCCCTTCTTTGGCCATCAGGAGCCCATTCAGGTTGACCCAGGGGTTGGACCTGCCCTTGGCATCCTCTGATAGCTGATCTGTTTCTAGTGGGACAGTATGTCCTGAGCTCCTTTTGAACAACCAGCCCTGGAACCAATGACTTCTCCAGGGAGTCCCATTTTATTATTTATGGAAAATGGTATTTAGTGCCCATATCTGGGACTAGGGTTGGTCCTTGCTTTGGGGCTTTTTCCGTGGTCATTCTAGGACATAGGTGTATATTATAAAACAATAAAATCATGAGTTTATAGGGATGTTGCTAATTCAAATTCAGTAGCCTAGAGCTTTCATCTAACCACGTCTATCATATGTCTGGAGCCCTGGTGGCGTAGTTGTTACGTGTTTGGCTGTTAACCAAAAGGTCAGCAGTTCAAATCCACTGGCTGCTCCTTGGAAACCCTATGGGGGCAGTTCTACTCTGTCCTATAGGGTCGCAATGAGTCAGAACCGACTTGATGGCAATGGATTTGGGTTTTTTAAATATTTTTATCATATATCTGATGAGCCCTGGTGGTGCAGTGGTTAAAGCACTCGACTGCTAAGAGAAATGTCAGCGGTTCGAAATTACCAGCAGCTATGTGGGAGAAAGATGTGGCAGTTTGCTTCCGTAAAGATTTATAGCCTTGGAAACCCTATGGGGTTGCTGTAAGTTTTGGGTATCATATTTTATCTGAAGTCCCAGGGTAGCACAAACAGTTACGCGATCAGCTTCTAACTGAAAGACTGGCAGTTCGAACCCACCCACCTTGGAAGACGGGCCTGGTGATCTGCGTTGGAAATGTCACAGCCATTGAAAACCCTGTGGAGCAGTTCTCTCTGCACACATGGGGTCGCCATGACTCAGAATCCGTGTGAGGGCAGCTGGTTTGGTTTTTGGTTCATCATAATTCTGCTTCAGCTTTCCTCACGCTGTTGATTCCAGGGACCAACACATCCCCACATTATTGGTTCGCATTATCCCACATGCGCCGAGCATTCTGCTAACAGTCTCTGCAGTGCCTCCTTCTGCCTGACAGGTCGGGGCCAGGAGAACGTTGGCTGACAAGACAAGGAAGCATGTGCTGATTAGAGCAGGCAGCAGGTTCAATGACATACAGGCTGGTGAGAGCCTAGCTCATGTGGGAAGGAGCAGATGCTTGTCAACTGGGGAGCCCTGGGCAACAGAATCAGGAAAGAATCGGACACCCCGGCCTCACGTCCAACAAGAAGAACTATAGAGCCTTAGCCAGATACGCAGCTCTTTGATTGTTTTCCATGTTTGTTTTCAGATTGTATCTTGGGTCTGTTTTTTGAAAAGATTACTCTCCTCTTTTGTCTATAAAAGCAGAACTCAGGGCTGAGAAGAGGCCAGAGGTGACTTGTGGAATTGTTACCTTCACTCTGTTCTATGCAGTTTGGTTAAACCGCAGGAAACGTGTAACTCAATTATTTTCTGGCATTTGAAGAAGCATTTGCATACTGACGACCTGCTGTCCTTGCTTTCCCCCAGAGGACAAAGTGTGGACCATCATGTCTCACGACTCGCAGATGCAGACGACGGTGGTGGGCTCCACCCCAGAGAAGTACTCGGTGACCCAGCTCGTGTACAGCGCCTCCCTGGACCAGATTGGTGCCGTCACCAGCAGCGCCGAGTACTGTGAGCAGTACGTCTCCTACTTCTGCAAGATGTCGCGGCTGCTCAACACCCCAGGTAGGCCGAGAGGGCAGTGTTACTTTTAATTACGATCTCCGTGGGAGCTGGGAATTGCCTAAACAATCCAACAGGTGCAAATGCTGGGCTTATTGTCTGAGTCCCGTCCCTAACGTGCAGGTGGTCGTAAATAAGCAACACAGAGTAATTTGCTTGTTTTCTAGGGGATGAAGCTGGGAATGGGTGGGTTTTTTCCTTTAACGCCATGGTTGCACATGACTTACAGATCTTTAAATTTGCACGTGTGCCTATGTGTCTGACCGTGTCTCTGGCGCTTAATCATCGGCAGTTGCTTTGGGCAAAAGCTGATCAGCACCTCGGGGACTTCAAGTCATTGCCTTTCCGTTCTTCAGCTGTGTTTCATGTACAAATGAAAGCTTTCCGAGGCTGTCCGCTGCTCAGTAGCATATAGAATAGCGATGGAATCACAGCACTTTGCTGACTAGAGTCATTTCACTGTGCGCTTGGTCTCAGGAAGTCCGACCTGAGTTTTTTTTTTTCCATGATGGCTTATTTCAGCAATTCTTTAGGGTGCGTATTTGTGTGTTTATATGTGAGTGTGTGTGTGACTTCATGTACGTGTGTGAATGCGTGTGCAAGTGTGTGTGTGAGCTTGAGTGTGTGCTAGAGTGTGTATGTGTGTGAGTGCCTGTGTGTATGTGTGCACATGTGTGCACAAGTGTGCATATGAGTGTGCATGGTGTGTGCTACTGTGTATGTGTGTGGGTTTGTGTGTGCATGTGTACAAGTGTGTGTCTGTGTATATGTATATGAGTGTATATGTGTATGTCCAAGTGTATGTGTATATAAGTGTGTGTGAGTATGTGTAAGCTAGAGGGTTGTGAAGAATAGAATTTCCAGACGATATACTGGAAATGCTTTTACTGCAAGAAAAGCCCCTACACCCTAGGGATCCTGGGCCGTAGACTGTCCGCAGACGCCAAGTGAAGCACCCCGCCGCATCTGCACTGTCCAGCAGAGGTGGTCGTGTGCTCTGAGTCAGAGACAGGTGGGCTGACTGTCCGCCCCGCCCCGGTGTGAGACCTCAGGGAGTCCGCTGGACGGTCGGGCTTCAGCTTCCAGCATCTTTTCCAGTGATGAAGAGATGATAATGCTATTTCCAGATGACTGTGAGAATTTAAGACAGGATTTCCTACATTTAAGATTTAATACACAGCAGATACAGTATTGATTTGTTTTAACATTAAGTGAATTTGGAAGTGGTCTTATGCTGTCAGAGGCCAGTGGGCTGTCTGATGGCCGGACTCAGAACTGCGTTGCAGGAGAAGTGAGGGCAACACGGTGTCCACTGCTTCAGGGTTGGAGTCCTTCTCTGGGCAAAGCCCTGGGCTAGAGTACAGACCCTAAGGAATTAACATCTGCGAAGTCTGGAAATGGTGGCTTCTGTGGGCTGGAGGGTGAAGAGGTGGTGGCGGCCGGGATGTGGGGGTGCTGTTCCAGGAAGGAGACAGAAGGGCCATCCCAGGCGGGGGAGGAGGCTCAGCAAAGGTCTGGAAGATGGAATACCAACAGCCTTGAGCCTATAGAGGTGTGAGCAAGGCCCACACTGCAGAGCAGTGAGGAATAAGGTTGGAGGTTGGGGTTGGGGGGGAGACAGAGTGTATGACAATCAGTGCTTTCTGCTGAGTTGGCCTTTAGCTGGAGACAGGTGCCTCTGGGACGTCAGCACATGGGAATGGCCTGGCAGCTGATAGAGCGAGCAAGCCTCTGCTGGGGCCATGCCCAGGGGTTTCTGATTCAGCCAGGGCTTTGAACCAGTTCCTCCCGGTTTGAACCCCTGCTGAGAATTTACATTTCCACCCCAGATATACTGAATCAGAATCTACCTTTTAACAAGATCCCCAGGTGATTCTGATGCAGGATGAATTCTGAGAACCACTAGTCTTCCAGTGTTCTCAGAACTGGTCCCTACCAGCCAGCGGCGTGGGCGTCAAACCTGCTGGAAGCTCTGGAGTCTGAGCTGAGCCAGCTCCACAGTTTGCATGTCTAAGGAGGTCCCAGGTTATGCTGATTTGCTGCTGGAACTGCCCCCCCCCCCCGCCCCAGCCCCACATCCTGGGAGCCCTCCCCTTGGGAGTACCCCCGGGAACTGTCCACCAGCACCCACACCGAGAGCCCCCGCCCTGGGAGCCCCCCACTCTGGGAGCCCCCGCCCCGGAGCCCCCCGCCCGGCAGGCCCCTGCCTCGGGAGCCCCCGCAGCTGGAGGCAATGGAGAAGTTTGGGTTCTCCATCCAGATCATTTCTGCGTTCACCTGCACTTAGTCCTGGTCTTTTTTCCTGGGTCCTGTTCCCGGCGCTGGGTCAGGTAACCAAGGATCATGGAGGCAGGGGTCACTTGTCTGGGGTCTCCGGAGAGCAGACCCCTTCCTGGAGCCCATTGCACAGATTACAGCCTCGAGGCGAGGCCTGCAACCCGTGATGGGGCTAAACAGGGAGCAGAGAGCTGGCGGGGAGAGAGACCTGGTTCCCTCAGCTTTACTTTCTTCCCTTCTTCAGCTGAACTCCAGAGTCAGCTTTTGGTTTGGAATTTAGAATTTTGACTTCCAAGTAAGTCAGCCTTCAGTTTGGGGGTGAGGAGGAGCAGGTGGAGATGGGAGAGTCGGTGGGTTGGCTGGGTGGGGGTGCCAGCCCCTTCCTCCTCTCCCAGCCCTCTCCCTTCCCCAAGTCAGGAAGGAGCCCTCCTTGCCTGCACACACACTCCCCAGAGCATGAGGAAAAAGTAGGACCAACTTGTTTTTAAACAATGTGTTAGCAGCATTTTCAAATAAACTAAGTGTACTTCCCTTCAACCTGCAGGCACCTGTTCAGGTGAGGAGCCTCTAAGCTGAAAGCAAACATCTGTTTGAATAAAGATAGGATTCCCTGTGTTTCCAGACTTCCAGGATTGTTGGACTTAGCAAACTGTACTCGGAAAATAACTAGCGTATGTTCCCTGCCTTCTGGGGACCCTTGAAGTAGTGAATCTTTCATTTACTTGGGATTGGTGCTTAATGTGTGTTTGCTGATTTGAATGAAATGAAAAATACATGGCTTTAAATATTACCTCACCCAACCTAAAGCAGTTGTTTTTAAACATCAGTGAGCAGCAGAATCCCCTGGGTGCTGGTCTGTGTCCCGCCACTCCCAGAAGGCTGACTTGACAGGACTCGGTGGGCCCAGGAACTTGCTTGCTTTTAACAAACATCCACAGGGACTTCTTTGAGCCGGACACTGAGAAACTCTGTCTTTATGGCTGGCATGAAGCTCTCCTGTTGGAATTTGAGATGTCAGCCCTTCATGTGGGAGAAGATTGGAGAGAATATTAGGGTTTTACTGGCCCATTAAAATGGCAGATAATCACCTGGTTCTCCCACTGAAGTCAAGTAGTATGATTGCATTTTTAATCCTCTGATAGGCCCGTCTTAAATACTGTAAGATGAATTTCAGCCTGCTTCTTCGAGTCATTTTTCTCGCTCCAATTTCTATTTCCCACGCTAACTAATCTGTAGAACAGCTGATGCAAGGAACAGGTGCGGATGCTGTCGCAAGTTCTGCCCTGTGGTGTTCTGTAGACATCAGAATAGGAAAGAACACAATTTAATAAAAATCTTTAATTTGCTGTCTTAAGGAGCTAATGTTTGCTGTAATGGTTTGGTTTGGTTTTGTTTCTTTCTTCCCTTGTGCTAACATTCCATTTTAATATCCATTTACTCCTGCTTAACTAAGACTGAATTATATTGGAACTTCTGTAGCAGTATTTGTGACATCTGGTTGAATACAAAGTAAATTCATTATAGTCGCTGCAGTTAAAATGAATATCAAATGAGTCTGTAATAGCTATGCACTAAGAATGTGATTCTTTATTTTAAGAGCCTCACCCTCAAGAGTTCATTTGGGGACGTGTCATTTCTAATGTTACTTAAGATAGTTGATCTTGTGTGCACGGAGACCTCGTTTTTATTTTGATGAGTGTTTGGGTGCACTCTGCCATTGGCTAAGAGGGGCAGGATTGCTCATTGTTGGCTCCTCACGACTTTGACAGGGACCGTGATTTACGGCTTGTAATGCCATCGGGAGATCTCTCACTTTTATTGCCACAAAATAAAGTCAATTTTGAAGTCTGAAAAGTATAATTTTGTCAATCTTGGGGTCATATCTGTTCTTGCAATGCGACAATTAGCCTTAATTGACTTTATAAAAGACATAGACACAAATAGAAATTATCTTCTCCCAACCAGGAGAGCCTATTTAGAGCGAGGCACACCAGTCTGGGAATAAACCAATTTGCTCTACCTAAACAGTGAAAAACCGTTCATGCTTCACACTTCTGTCCCCAGCATGCAAATACAATCATGTCTGAACTTCTAAAAGGCAAAAATCCTTCAACAGTGAACTCTACCTTTGAAGTAGATACCTTGCCAACGTCATTTGATAAACTAGCCACTCGGAGAAGGTCCCATTAGATGCGCTCGGGTGAGATCTCGGTCAGCAGTCCTCATGCCGAAGGGTTTCTCCGTATTTGGACAAAACCTGTAAGCCTGCTTTTAAACTGCGTATTTGTGTATCTTAAATGCACTATAGTTGTGTACTGATTTTACAAATCGTATGACACTTTCTATTTGATGATTTTCTGCTAAGGTATTGTCCCTACATTTATAAAGATGTGTTTAATTGTAGAGGCATGAAAATGCTATTTCCTATTTTTCTAACTGCATTTAGTGTTGTTGTTGTTGGTTTTCAGTTTTTCATTTATTTTAATTTCTCAATGTAGGATAATTCTCATAAGTCATGGTTTTATTGCTTCTTTTGTTGAAAGAAGCAATATAAATTATCTGTCCTTTTGGGTCGTTTACTATTAGATTTTGTATCTATTGAAAAGGAGTTATGTTCACAATTTTTGGCTTTAAAGTAAGCTGTGAAAAATTCAATACACTTTGAAGACACTAAGCCGTGATTTAGTGGCATACTAAAGACCAAAAAACACGGCCCTGGCATTGTA